CACAGTTCCCCACCAAAACCACAGCCGGCAGCAGGAGCCACGCGGCATCCATTCCAAAGTCCCGGGTAAGACCTCAGGGCCAGCCTGGCCACGGACAGGGGTCAGGAAGTGTCTCGGAGCTCCGCACGCTTATGCGCGTGGACGCTCTTATCCCAAGGAGGCCACGCAAAACTGCTGAAGTTCCTGAGTCATTTGCTTCAAATACTGTATCTTTAAATCAAGGACGGATTCACTGCCCTGGCAGCAAACACCAGCACATTAATTGGAAGGGGTGCAGCGTTTCCACCACCCCTCTCCCCCTCCCAGCCCAATCCTGTCCCTCGAAACATGCATCGTCATCACGAGACCTGCTCCCCAGGTTGTTCCGCTGTCTAGGTCAGGTGACCACTGGAGTGAGAGAAGAGGGCACCAGCTGTCCCTCATGCTGACGAAGGGACGCAACCCAAGGACACGGAGGCCCCCTGGTGACAAGGACAAAGCAACTCGGACATCATCCTTGGGAGCTCGTGAGCGAGTCCCAGCGTGAGAAGCACCAGGCAGGACTGAGGTCACAGCTGAGCCCGCCCCCCTCGAGCTGCTGGGCGTCGCCAATACGAGCTTGATCCTGAATGGAGCCAACCCTGCGTGACAATGGAGACCTCGGAGCTCCGCTGTCCCTCCTGGGTGGCACCCCCCTCCCCCCAGCTGAGAGCAGGGGCAGCTGAGGAACGTGCCAGGTGGGTCTGAGCAGGTAGGAGCGTCTGCGGCCCCCGCACCGGCAGGCAGAGTCTCAGACGCCAGGGCCAGGGAGGCCGTCCTGAGCACTGGCGGTCGCCGAGCACCAGGCCCGGAGACCCCGCAGTGGGCGACGGCAGTAATGGCAGTCAGCTGGCTTCTTCCCCACAGCGCCCTTTACGAGTTGTGAGATTAAAGCCCAGGAAATGACTTTCTATTTTCCTCCCAGGAGACGTGGTGATTACAGACTCAGAACATGGCCGGCAAGAGAGCAGTCACAGGAGGAGGGCGCTGCGCTCTGGGAGTTCTCCTCTCCCCACCTCGAGTGAACTCCTAACCCACCTGACACTCACCCTCTGCCAGCACCAGGGGAGGCTGGGGCTCAGCGCCCTGGAGGGCTGAGCGAGGTGATTTTCCATCCCAGCGGCTCCTTGCTGGAGCATCGATGCCTCTGCATGAAGCACAAGGTCAGGGGTGAGGACATGGAACCTCATCAAATGACCTCCTCAGATGACTCCACAATAAAGCCGCAAATTATCACAAGGATAATAAAAGTCATTATCATCACTGTCATCACCACCTCCATCATCATCATCATAATTATTATCATTGCCTTCATCACCATCATCATCACTATCACCATCACCATCTCCATCATCATCACCATCTCCATCTCCATCATCACCATCATCATTACCATCTCACCATCATCACCACCTCCATCATCATCACCATCTCATCACCATCATCACCACCTCCATCATCATCATCACCATCATCACAATCATAATTATTATTGCCTTCATCACCATCATCATCACTATCACCATCACCATCTCCATCATCATCACCATCTCCATCACCATCATCACCATCATCATCACCATCTCACTATCATCACCACCTCCATCATCATAATCACCACCATCATCACAATGATAATTATTATCATTGCCTTCATCACCATCATCATCTCCATCACCATCTCCATCACCATCATCACCATCTCCATCATCACCATCACCACCTCCATCATCATCATCACCATCACCATCACGATCATAATTATTATCATTGCCTTCGTCACCATCATCATCTCCATCACCATCACCATCACCACCATCACCATCTCTATCTCCATCACCTTCATAACCACCATCACCATCACCATGATCATAATTACTATCATCACCATCATCATCACCATCTCCATCACCAAAATCACCATCATCACTGTCACCATCTCTATCTCCATCACCATCACCATCACCATGATCATAATTACTATCATCACCATCATCACCATCACCATCATCACCATCATCACCATCATCACCATCATCACCATAATCATACCCATCATCATCATGCTACCATTGCCATCACCATCATCACTTGCACCATCACCACCATCATCATCATCATCATCATCATCATAGTAACAGCAGCAAACATGTACCCAGCAGCTATTATGTGCCACACACTGAGCACCTGGCAGGTACTATCTCAGTTAATCTTTACAACATTGTGAGATGCTTAATTCTGTAACCCCCACGGAGGCACAGAGAGGACAAGCACGTTGCCCAGGTTCACACAGCTCATACGGGATGATGTCAGGAGTGTGAAGGCAGGCAGTGGCACTTGTAACCACTCCACCCAAACTGGGAGAAATTCCCAAGCATTTCACTTACGGGGGGATCGTGTGTGTGGTGGAGGGGGGGGTTGGCTCTGACGATCCCAATCAGTATCCCATGTAATGTTAGCTCCTGAGAAATGGCAGAGCGCCCCAAATCCACAGCCCCTGCCCTTGCTACGCCCACTAATGCCTGTGGTACAGACAGACAGGAAAACGTAACATGCTCCTTCTCAACATTTCTCTACAGAAGCCAAAATAAAATGTACAGCTCCCCAGATCTGATTCCAAGCAGCCCTCCTTGGACAGAAGAACTACCCTCGCGAATTCTATCACTTCCTGAAACCCGCACTCCAGCCTTCGGGGTGCCCCTGGCAGTGAGTGAGCGCAGATGGGTGTGCTGGGGCGACAAGACACCCACGTCCCTGGCAGCCTGTTGCCCGTGGCACCTGCACCTCTCCTCTCAGAGCCACTCCCGCTGGGTATAAAAACAGCTGGCGTGTACGGAGGTTCTCAGGTGCCAGGCGCAATGTCCTGTATTTGTTCATTCACCGAATCCTCGCGGCACCCACTCAGGAGGGGCGGTGAGTGGACTGTGCTGACGAAGACCAGGAAGCCAAGAGAGACGAGCACCTTCGTGTCACACGGCCACACGCAGCAGAGCCCAGATTCACACGGGGCCGCTGACCACCACGCGTGCACCGACCCCGAGTCCCCCGGCCACTTTCAATTCCGCCCGAGATGCGTGAGCCGCAGTCACGCTCCGGAAAGAGTGAGGAGCCGGGTCTGCATGTGACGATGGCTGAGACAACGGGGGTTCCGGGGACGCCTGCTGGGGTCTCAGTGTCCCCGGGGACTGTGTCACTCATGTAGGACCAGCTGGCCTGGGCGGTCCCCCGGTTAGAGGCACCGTCTCCGCACTTCCTGCCTCTCCTCGCCTCGGCCTGGAAGCGAGGGCCGCTGGCCATCCCCGCCCAGCCTCCGCGTCCCTTCCCAGAATTACCGCCGCTCTGCATCGCACACGCATATTTACCCCCTTTCAATCTGTTTTGCTAAACAAATTAATTCCGCACCAGATTCCATGAGGAGGAACCGCACATCTTTTCCAAGATCACATCTGCCGAGTTGGGGCAGCGACATCCCATGTCCTGGGAACTGATTCGCGCTTCCTATAGTCACCACAGACGTGATGGGGGGTAAAGGGGCACTGGGTTTCCATCCGCATCTACACAGTCAGGGCCATGGGGGTGACAGGAACCGAGGCATCAGCCCTCACTTCATCATGAAAACTGAGGCTTTGTAAGCTGACTCAGCAACTGGCACAGAGAGGATGGACTGCAGGCCCCTGGGCCCTGCACTTGACCCCTGCCCTCGTGTCTGCATCCCGGCTGGCTGGCAGGCCAGGCACCCAAGCTCCAGGCCCTGCCCTCGCCCAGGAGGGAGCAGGTTCCGCGTTCATCGTGTGTCGCTCTCTAGGGAAGAGAGTGGAGCAGGAAACCACAGCTCCCTTGTCCGGGGCAGGGCGAAAGTAGGCCACGGAACAAAAGCCACGCACGCCACACAGCCCGTCCAGCTGCTGGCCACGGCCGGCCTGCCAGCCGAGACGCAGTGACGAGGGCAGGGGTCAAGTGCAGGGGACACCGGCCAGGTCTGCCGACGGACCCCGGGGAGCAACCCCTCCCCTCCTGGGTTCTGAAAGGACCCGCCAGGGCCCGAGGAGCCCCCAAACCTTAGGACGTGAAGAGCAAGCCTGGTGTGGAGGAGGCTGCTGCCCCCGCCCCCCCCGGCTCTGAGCTCATGCCCTGGACACGGCCCCCCCTTTTCCTAAGTCAGCAAGCGCGGCTGCTTGTCGCACACACAGGTCCCACCTATGCACGTGAATCATGGAGGGGCCTGGACAAGGGAAGCTGGAGGCAGGTGGGACAGAGGTCCCCTACTCTGCTGTCCTTGCAGCCATGCGGGGGGGACACGCGGGTGGCCACAGGGGGAGGGACAGGCCTGGGCGCCCTCCTCCTCGGAAGCCATCAGGGGACACGGTGCAGGCGGAGCAGGAGGAGGAGACCTCGCTGCAGGAGGCACTCCCAGCCCGGCACCCAGCACCAGGGGCCGAGGACAGGACCCCCAGCCGCGCCCACCGGAGCAGCCCCAGCTGCCCCCGCCCACGGGGGGCCCTTCCTTCCCCTGCTGGGTCTCCCCTTCATCTAAAGTGAGCCCTCATCCCGGCCCATCGGGCAGCGGCCACCCACCGAGTCACGCCCTGGAGGTATCTGAAGGCACCCCCTGGCCCCTCGCTGGACCAGACGTCCCCACACCCAGCTCCCGAGTGGCCCCCCCGAGAGGACGCC